TTTGCTTTAAAAAAAGGTGGGGGGAAGAGTGGATCCCTTCCTATAGGGCCAGTTCTAGTGTAACACCAACAGACGCAGGTTGTCGGTGGGCAGGATTGAACCTGGGACTTCTGAAACTTAGTGTATGAGCCTCTACTGCATGAGCTGAAAGATACATAGCTTTTAGCCGCGGCTGTAACAGACTCATCAATCTTTAGATCAGTGGTTCTCAAACTTTTGTACTGGTGACCCCTTTTACACAGCAAACCTCTGAGTGCAATCACCCCATATACATTAAAAACACTTTTTTATATATTTAACAATATTTTAAATGCTGGCGGCAAAGCGGGGTTTGGGGTGGAGGCTGACAGCTTGCAGCCCCCCCATGTAATAACCTTGCGACCCCCTGAGGTGTCCCGACCCCCAATTTGAGAACCTCTGCTCTTGATGGTCTAGGTGCCACTAGAGGAGGACAGAGCGTCACATCAAGCAGGCCTGGGTTATGCTACCAATCACAAATCACAAAGAAGAAAATAATTAATGCATTTCCACTGACAGGAAGCCAGTAAAATAAAAGCTTTTTTATATGTTCAAGTTGTACTGGATCTAGGTTACCTGGTTTCCATTATAGTGCGGTCACCTGTACAACGGGTGACATTTTTCAGCTGAAACTTTTTTTCAGTGAAAAATGCAGAGTCAGTGACTCTGGACTGCTTCACAAAGTTGTGTTGGTTTCGCTAAATACTTCATGTCGAAAGAAAAATCTGAAAAAAGTCAACAAACGTTTTTGATTTTTTTGATTCCAAATGATTTTTGGTTTTAAAAAGCTCCAAATCTCAATGCAAAGTTTCACTGCAGGTCGAACAAAATGTTTTGTTCAACCTGAAACTATTAGTGTTTTGTGTAGCTGAAAATTTCAATAAACTTTTGTTTTTAGGTCAACCTGAAACAATCCTCCTCCCCCCCCGGCATTTTTCAGAATTGCCAGTCGACCAGAACAATCAGTCATTCGCACAGTCACTTGTGCCCCTCAAGCTCAGATTCAATTTAGAAGACCCGGCTAAACTGGGAAATTGACCTACTGTTATGACCTTTGCCCTCAATCTCCCTGAGCATGTCCTGAAAATGGCTTAACTGATAGTATGGATGGGACAAAACCATTTTCAGCACCACCGAGCACTTTCTGGTTTTGCCCTGTCCATACTAGCACTGAAATTGCTTCAAACACCACTTGGCCACAAGCATTCTTAGCACTGGGTCATGATCACGACTCCAGAAAGACACGGAGAATGTGAAATGAAGATCCGGTCATCTGGATGAATAAAGGTAAAGCTAAGAACTACAGATCAAATTCACAGAGGACGTTAAGTGGGGAGAACTCCATTAAAGTCAACTGAACAATGCCTGGTTACGCTCGAGGCAAAATTGGCCCCGTGTGTGGAAATAAAGCATTTCCAGAGGAAGGTCGTCCATGATGGTCACAATCCCTAACCTTCTTGATTCTTGAGCGCTTTAGGGAAAAGGTCTGCATTGCAGACTGTGCTGCTGTGAAAGCCACGGCTGCAGGTCCCCTGGATCTCTACCTCCCTGCACTCTCCTCTGCTGCAAGCAGAGTTTGGCACAACTCTGTGAAGCAAGAGGCTTTTTCGTCTTGTTTTAAAGAGATAAGATAATCACACAAGGATTTTAGTCGGCAAGATACTGGTTGTTATGTGCAAAGGAGAGGTGGAGCGTGCGGAGGGGGAAATAGGAGGCAAAGCTATAATCTCTCTCTCTGTCTCACACACACACTCATTTCAGACACACACCCTTGCGGCAAAAAAGAGAGCCCCTCCCTATCCATCTGTTTCCTGCCCTCTAACTATATTGCATCCATTCGCCTCTCCTAATATTGGTCCCCACCCAGTCTTTTCCAGTCCTTAATATTAACCCTGTGGAGGCAGCAAATGGTGCTGGAGCTATGCCTGACATCACACTCCGCGCCCCCTTGTAAATTCCAGTTTAGAACTACCATGTACAATCCCAGGGCCAAATGCATCCCTATGATTATTCCGTGGACTTAATTACACCAGGGACGATGCCTGCTGTAGATCGATGGTACTGGTGGGAATTTTAACCTCAAAGCGCAAAGAGAAAGCAGGAACAGACACATTTTGATTGGTTCCAGTTTGTAACTGGGCATATAACCACTAAGTTGCATCACATAAGCCCCAATTCAGTGAGGTACGTAAGCACACACCTCGCTCTAACCACATAAGTAGTTACACTGAAGTGCCATTACAGAAATAAGACAATCACACCAGGATTTTTATAGTTAATTTAGTAGTAAATGGTTTGGATGTAGCCAAAATCTCATGACAACTGCTGTTCTCCTAAGACTTCAGGCCACGATGGACCATATCTCAAAATCATGTATCTGGGGATGCACTGTCCTAAGACCAGCACAAGGAATTTCAGCAGCATCAAACCTGACACCGAACACTTGCCTTGGCATCAAACTTGCTTCTTGAACCCTCCGCTAAATGCAATCCATATCCAGTTCTGAAACTTGCCTTCTGAACCTATCTCTAGTTACAGTTAGGTATGGGTGAACCTCAAAAGGTTTGGAATTTGGATCTTGGAGGAGAAAGAAAAAGAGAAGTCCATGTGTAAATCACTCATGTGGGTTTATATAATGGTGTCAAGTGCTCAGATACATCAGAAATGGGCAATGGATGAATTAGAAAGATAAAGACGGGATAGGGTAGATAAATAGATTAGGGTTATAGAGAGAGATTTCTCAGAGTCTATTGGCTCTGCAAATTTAGGTGCCTATCTCGCAAGATCAGGCTTTTTTGGGGGGGTATATTAGCACTTTGCTTTCCAGACCCTGCTGAATGTCAGATGTGTAGATGGGTGTAAAAATGGAATATGCAGCCATGCAAACATTTCAGCAGCTGCTTCGTCTGAGTTCAGATCTAGAAATGCCCCCAAACGGGGAGGGAAAGGTCCAGTAAGTTATTTTGTTTTTCCCAAATCAGTTTTGCCCTTCCCTGGTGAACAATGCCTAGATTATTTTAGAATGCCTAGTACAGCATACAGTGCATCCCAAATGGACTATGACCGTAAATTCCATCAGAGGCTTGGCAAGAAAAACAGCATACAATAATCTGGGCAAGCGGTGAGGTAACTGATTCTTAGATCTATACATAATTAACAGGGTAGGTGACAGATTTGGGTGGGTTTTTCTCTTCCTTAATGACAGCTGATTGGTGGCAGTAATCAGACCTTAGCATTTCTAAATGGAGAGAGGATAAATAATAGTAGGAGTTTTTTTAAGAAACAGGTTGGGGCACAGAAATTTTTCAGATTTGCTCATTGCAAAATCAATACCCATCAGCTGTTTGAAATTAAAGGAAAGATTAGGTCCTGGTTTTATACATGCCTTATTGTATTCTGAGAGCTTTCTACTCAGCCAGATAAATCTTCTTTAAGAGGATTAGGAAACTTTCATTATCTTTATCTAACCTGAACTAACACTAACTCTGAAAAATTAATCTATAGACTGGACAAAACCCGATAGCTGTTGCAAAGAAGTAGGGATCTGGAGTTACTTTCTAATTGAAGTGGGCGGGTGGGCGGCTGGTGAAGGGGTGAAATCTGTTTAGTGCTGAGAAAAACAAGAGCCCCTCACGGACAAAGCTGGTCTCATTATTCTTTGAAGATAATTGAACCAATGCATTTCAGCATTTATTTCTATGATTCAACTGGCTGTGAAAACCGCCCCTACACCCCCTTCTTTGACAGCTCTTTCCACCAGCGACCACAGCTTTCCAACCAATAGAGTGTCAGTGTTACCTCCTCTTCCTAATGCACAGGGACATTTTCCTGACCTAGTCACGCAAGGAGGATTCCATCTCCTTCCAGGGGATGCAGGGCGCATGCCTTCTGAGTTTATAATTCATGTTATCCAGCGGGTACTGGAAGCTTTCAGACTCTTCTGATTTGGATCAAATATTCCAACTCAATGGAACTCCTTCAAAAAGAGTTACATGCTGCAGCCCACCTCCTCCTACCCAGCCTGTCTCAGATCTAGAAGCTCTGAGAGCCTTCTGACTGAAGAGACTCCGAGACGCCCACTTTTCAACCCAACAGCTTGTGTTATGCCAAGGCATTTCTCTAATAGTATTATCCATTGAAGCTGTGGGCCAAAAGCCCTTTATGGCCTGTATTGACTTTGACGTACTTACACAATCTGTCTTCTTTCCTGAAAAGTGATAGCCTTGTTCTCTTTGAATCTGTTCCTCTACAGTACCTGACAGTTCTTTTATTTCAGCACTGCATTTCCCAAAGAAGATGATAACTCTGCTGTCAAGGCCAGTAAGGTGCCACTGAGACATCACTTCCAATGCTAAGAATCCCTTATTCCTCTGGAACTGAGCCCCACTAAGCAGGCGGGAAACCAAGAACTGCCAATGCCCGACCAGCCCTTCCAATGCTTAGGATACTATCAAAACAAACTCCGGCTTGCCATTCTCGCCTTCTCCTATGGGAAATACTTGAGCTGTTATCCGGGGTATCTTCAAGAACAGTCCCCAGCTGAGCTCATTGACCACAACAATCCAGACCCTTTAAGCTGATGGAGCCATGTCATTGCTGGTAGCATACCTGGCTAACAACCATTAGTCCTGGGTGCAGTTCCCAACTGGAAGCAGCAAGCACTAAGGGGCCCAAGTTAAACTTTCAATTAGCGGAGTCACTAGTTGTTCTATATTCTATCCCAAGACGGCAGAGCACTTACAATGGGATAATCACCAGAGGACATTGGCCCACATTCCATCTAGCAGAGAGTGTGGAACAGCAGCCAAAGGACAAGATTTCAATGCCCGGCTACTGAGCATCCAAGCCAGCGAGCAGGAATTATCAGTCTCATTATCCCCTGCGCATCAGCAGCAGCACCTAATAGAAGCAGTAGTGGTGGGAAGCCCTGGCTGCCTTCAGTTTAACAAGTTTCTTTCTCAGCGTGCAGCGCTGAGCCTTACCTTGCACGATCAGATGCACCCGCGAGGTCTTCGGGTGATTGTCTGTCTGCACGGAGCAGGTGTAGGGCCCCTCGTCGTATACGTCCACGTTATGGATCTTGATGCTGTACTGGGTGTTCGTGTTCGATAGGATGACCACGCGGTTGTCTATAGACCACTTGTCATTTCCAGCATACAGGATGGTGCTACGGTTCAACCAAGCTACTCGCGTGACCCTCTCATCCACGGTACACCTATAAACGGAGGGAGAGAGAGTGTCATAAAACAGGCCAATGGCCAGCCAGGAACGTGACCATAGAGCTGCCCAATAGTGACGCTGAAAAAACGTCATTAGTGGTTTTGGGCAACTTAGTATGAAAAGACTCTGTACAGGATAATAGAGATGCAAACAATAGGGCGGCAAAACAATGGTTTTATAGAGTGGTTTTATAGAAACCACTCTAGCAAACGTATTCATTATTATTCTTATTCCATAGCCCCCACAAGTGTAGTAGGGACTTCACATAAAAAGCAGGTTCCTGACCCCCAAGAGATTACAACCCACATGAATTGGACAAAGAACCACAGAAACTATTCCACAGGACTTTTCAGAAGGGACAATACCAGAGACATTCATAAAGTGCCCTTCAGTTCCAAACTCCAGTGCAGGAATCTGGAGGGGAGGTATCCCAGGATATTTGACACATCCCACCTGCAGCTCTATTCGGTCACATCGTAGCCTTATGCGGATAAATTTCGACTGTTCACTGCAGTACCACATGGTGCTCTGAAGTGCTGGAGAAACTGTGTCCCCCGAAAGGAACAGTGTCACCTTTCTGGGTGGAAGCCACTCTAAGTTTGTCCTCTGAAAGCCAAGAGAAGCTCTTCATATGACCCCTCCCTCATGACCATCACAGCCCCTCCCCCTCCCCTTTTCACTAGCTGGACATACAGAATTTTAGATGACGCTGTGAAATTTGCTTGGCTTGCCAGTAAGGCCCTCCAGCCGGTCCCTGTGTGATATACAGTGTTGAGCCCCAGAGGGCTTGAACAGCCTCAGAATAAAGGCAGGAAATGGGGAAATGGACAGGAAGAGAGGAAAAAAGAGGAAGAGTGAGTGGGGCCTTTGGAGAAGCAGCTGTAACTCTCTCTTTCTCTCTCTCTCTCTCTCTCTCTCTCACACACACACACACACAGACACACACACACACTTACTTCAATTATTTATTTGCTGCCTGGCTTCAGCCCTCCCCCCTCCTGCTACTCAACACTGGAAAGTTTTAGAGCCCCGTTTCTGAGTGGTTAGTTACCGTCGGTGAGGAATGGTGCAAAGACGAAATTAAAATGTTCCTGGAAGGCTGGAACACACGTCTTTCTAATTCTATTTTTATAGATGATCTTAATGTATTTTACTCCTGGGTCTGTCTGGCTCGGGAGCACCCCTGGAAAAAGCGTCACGTGTTTGGCTATATCAAGAGCTGAGCATTTCTCCAGTGCATTCCCTTTCTTTCCAAAGCTTTAGCAAGCACAGAAGGCAAGAACATTTGGTTGTGATGAAATGGACATTATTGGTGGGTTGTAATAGTAATACTTGGTCCTCCTACAGCTCTGTCCTTTCAAAGATCTCCAAGGGCTTTTCATACATGAATGAATTAACCCTCGTAATTCCCCTGACAGGCTGGCCAGTGATATCCCCATTTTACAGATGGGGAAACTGAGGCAAAGAGCTGGGAAGTGGCTTGGTGATTATTATTCTATGCATTCCAGCAGTGCCTACAGGACCCAGCTGAGATCAGGGCCCCATCGTGCTAGGTGTTATAAAGACACTTTAAGAAATAGTCCCTGCTCCCCAAAGCTCATAGGCCCAGATTTTTGAGGGATTTAGCCATTGCTTTGCTCAGCATTGCAAGTCTTGAGTGATTTAACTTCACAAGTGACTTAGGCCCAGATTCTCAAATCACAGAAATCAATGCAAATTAGGCACCTAAATACCTTTACAGATCTGGGCTTTGGGCGCCTGAGTCTCTTTGACTTTCAATAGACTTAGGCTCCTACACCTCTTTTGAAAATGGAACTTAGCTACCTCAGTCACATAGGACTTGAAGGCTGAGTGCAGCAACACCTCAACACCTTTTAAAAACCTGAGCCTTACAGTCTAAATAGAAAAGAGGGATGAAGGGCAGGAAATGGGAGTATTCTAATCCCCATTTTCCAGATGGGGGACTGAGGCAAGTCAAGAGAAGTGACTTGCTCAAGGCCACATAGGGAGTTTGTGGCAGCGGTGGGAATTGAAGCCAGATCTCCTGAGTCCCAGGCGAGTGCCTTAACCACCCCACCGCCCTTACAATTATAGACCCACCTAGGCTTCTCAAGCTCAGCCAGCTGCAGATGGGACACAGTCCCCGATCAGAAGCTGTCTCAGATACTAAACTGATCCTGCACCGTTCCTTGCCGAAAAGCTGTGTCTGTAGCCCATATTGACCCAAGCGGGCCATTAATCGCTAGCAAACGAACAGGTCCAAGGCTACTACTATTTTCAAAGGGGATGGGAGCAGGGGGTCCAGGTATCTATTTTTGTGTTTGAGGTGTGTGATTTGACATTCTCAGAGTATTAACACCATCGAAATCACAGCGATCTGGGGTCCCAAGAGGTTATCTGGTTCTTCCCCCTGTGCTGAGGCAAGATTCTCAGGCCATGCTGGGTCGCGCCATGCATGAATGCTGCTGCTACTGCTCAGACCCCTCTTCAAACTTATAAATTGGCAGGAGCACCTTCCAAGACGTTTCATCTCACTCACCTCTGCCGCCAGATGTGGCAGGAGGGGAGTGTTGGGCCTCTTGCACTGAAGCTGCAGAAATGTTATATGCCTCCCACGCCATGTTCACCGAGTGTCAACTCGATCAAGGTTATGATTTGGGGTGTGCGGGTGGGACTGCATTAAGCATATTTCAGTGCCCCCCTGGGCACGCGGTGCAGAGGAATTAGAGATATATGCTCCCTTAAACAAATAATTCTCCCCTTGTAGCGGCTGCATGCTCCCACTAGCCACTTCAAGTGTGGACTCCTAGGAAGACAGATGGTCCGCTGAGCTTGGCATGTTATTACCTTTACCCCAGGAGGCCACCATATTTCAAACAAGATGCCGTTTCTGCAGCTACACAAGCTTTGCCTCTCAAGAGCCGGAGAAGTGGCAAAGGGGCCGGTCCCACCACTCCAGAAGGAGGCACCGCATCATTTAATGGGACATGGTGGACCCACAGACCATGGGGGAAGAGGTGTCATTTCACCCTACATTTCCCCCATCAAAGTTCAAACAACAGACGGATTGAGCCACTGGAATCACATTTTGTGTTCCCTTTATACCACTCTGCCCATGCACCTTAATCCAGACTGGCAGCCCAGGTCTTGGCTTCTCTGTACAACTCTGCCGATGCACTTTAATTCTGACATGTGGCATCACCTGCAGAGCTAATCTTGAGTCCCGCAGAATTCGACCAGTGAATCTCAATCCTCACCTGCTGTCAGGGGCGGCTCTATGTTTTTTGCTGCCCCAAGCACAGCAGTCAGGCGGCCTTCGGTGGCACACTTGCGGGTGGTCTGCTGGTCACGCGGATTC